CCAGCTGGGATCCGAAATTCATTAAGTGCTCAGGTGGACCCAGCCCTACAACTTAACACCTTCCATTGCCCTCACCTGGCTCTGAACCCATCACAGTCTGTTTGCACCCTTTGAAGAAAACCACAGGGCCTGAACTGAGTCAGGAGATGTGTCTGTATTTGTATCACTAAGCTAAGAGGATCTCGTCTATGCAATTTACTGTAGAGCTCCAGGAGAGTCTTCAAACCCTTTTTTCTGACCCTGAGTTCTTCCCACCACTGGTCCATCCAGGAGATCTGCCTGCTTGCCCCTGATGCCTGCTGATGCTCTAATCGCTCATTAAATGGCATGAGGGCAAGAAGCTGAATGACAATGCTCTTCTGCTCTTTTAAAGGTGCCACTGCTTCAAATGCCAGACACAGGGTGCTGACTTATAATCATAGAAATAGCCCTCCACACAAACTTTGTGGAAAACTATGATGCTTAGGAAACTTTGCACACCTAAAAGGAGGTGGTTCCCCTTAAAAACTCCTGGCTGTGGACTGCAGCCCTGTTTGTAGTGTGGTTGTGTGGGGATAGCAGCAAGACTCTTCCAGGCCTGGCTGCAAGGTGGCAGGACCATCTGCTGTATGGGACCCCCACAAGCTGACAGGAGGGGCCCTGATGGGCCTGAAACACAGTAATGGGGTCTCTGTGATCCCAGAGAAAGCCCTGCCTGCCAACAGCCATTTCCTGCTGTAACTGCAATGTGTCTCATTTAGAGCCTTCTCCCATGCCACACGTCAGGCTACAGCAACCACACTAAACAAAAGCCTTATTGTCCATCTTCCATACAGACGTTTCTGCATTCATGCAATGGAGGTGTGCATGTCTTTACACTGTTGTGTAGATGATGCTTTTTTGTGTCCTACTTTTTGCAGCAGGAGCACCAGCCTAGCCTGTGCCATCATGTTCTTTTCTAACCTGCTTATTCCTTTGGGCCTAGATCATCACAAGCATCATAGAATCATAGAATCGTTAGAGCTGGAAAGGACCTTAAGATCATCTAGTTCCAACCCCCCTGCCATGAGCAGGGACACCTCACACTAAACTATGTCGCCCAAGGCTCTGTCCAATCTGGCCTTGAACACCTCCAGGGTTGGAGCGTTCACAACTTCCTTGGGCAACCTATTCCAGTGCCTCACCACCCTCACTGTAAAGAACTTCTTCCTTATATCTAACCTAAACTTCCCCTGTTTAAGTTTAAAGCCATTACCCCTTGTCCTACCACTACAGTCCCTAACGAAGAGTCCCTCCCCAGCATCCTTGTAGGCCCCCTTCAGATTTTGGAAGGCTGCTATGAGGTCTACACGCAGCCTTGTCTTCTCCAGGCTGAACAGCCCCAACTTTCTCAGCCTGTCTTCATAAGGGAGGTGCTCCAGTCCTCTTATCATCCTTGTGGCCCTCCTCTGGACCTGTTGCAACAGCAGAGACAGATACAAATGGATCCCAAAAGACTGCCTGCGTAGCTGCTGTTTGAGCAGCGCTCATGAACCAAATGTGCTCCTGCCTATGCCCTGCCGGGGCACTGGCCAGCCACGGTGGAGAGGCACCTCGGGAAAACATCTGGACTTTGTCAGGGAGGGAGGCTTAATCTCTGTAGAAGCTGAGCATTGTGCCAAGTCACCCTGCCTCATGTCAGAGCTACTGTGTGACTGCTGAATGCTTCAAATGACTGCAATACCTGCTGATAATTGCCTAAACAATAACAAATAAACAAAGTACTTTGGAGCTATAGACAGATAGTTTTCATTACACTTTAATCCACCAATACTTCGCTTATGCTGACAGGAAAAACCTCTACACCTACTTAAAGAATAACTCTATGTGAATCAACACTGGGAGTGCTGTAGATCCACGAAGCAACATCTGTGCTGAGAACAGTTTCAAGTAAGCACCCTCTCCTAATTTCTACACACACACTTGGAAGCCATGTTGGATGATGCAGAGATGGGAGGCAAGTGAAATGAACCTGAAATTCATGGAAATGAAATGCTTTGTTTGGGAGTTATTATAGGAAGTGGAAAGCAACCTGGCTGAGAGAAATCAGGCAGGTCTCTCCAATCTCTTATTTATTTGGTAGCTCCCACACATTACAATGGCCCAGCTGTAAGCACCAATTTAGCTAGCACCCAAGACCACCACAAACAGGATGTGCAGAGGATGAAGGTAGGTGAGGCAAACATCTCCGTAGGCCACTAGTCTTAAGCTGATCATGGCACCATCAAGCTAAAATTGTCCTGGGATGTCCATCAGGAAAATCGTCTCCTCCTAATGATTTTGAGCCTGAGAGACTGCGCAGACCTAGTGGCAGTGTAGGAGTTGCCCTGGCTCTAGAGACCTACTGGGATAAAACTTGGTATTGAACACCACCACCAAGAAGTGTTGGGGAAAGGAATAAAAAAATGTCCTGTGTGTTGAAGGAATACCTCCGCGATCACTGTGTGTCTGGCCCGTACATGGCACGAGCAGCACCCACACATGGTACAAAATGGCAGTGCATGGAGGGGTGGCTCAGCCAAAACAATCCTCCACAGAACCTGAACAGCATTTGCAGACAACAGGGATATCTTCACCAAGCATCTCGGGGACAAGGCACTGGCAGAAGTGGCATCTCGCAGTGTCACCTTCTGAACTGAGGTCCAAAATGAGAAGGCAAGTCTGCAGCAGATTCTACACAGTGACGACAGATTTTTCTCAAGCTTGTGCTTTATTTTATATAAAAGAAAAGGCGAAGCTACAGCACTGGTAGCCTTTTCTTTGAATATACTTAATACATGCTTCCAATGAACTTAAAACAAAAGTTCCTGGGGAAGATGGAGAGGAGAAGATTTCAAACTTGCCTTCCTGGACTTTCGCATGGATGGAGACGACAGACCAGCCCTGCCTACTCTTAGTATCTGCAAACAGAAGTGAGTATTTAGAAATACCTTGGGCACCACTGTGACATGAAAAGGTCCATGGTTTCCCACATTGAAAGTCTGAGTGGCTAGTTTTACAGGTTTCCCCCACCTTGTAAATCCCCCAGAGTGCGTGCAGGGTGGTGGGAATATTTGGAATATAATGATTTTATCCTGGTAAAAATGAGAAATCTTGAAAGTATTCCTTGTTCCAGGGCTTTTGCCCAAAGTATGTTGCAAACTGTGAGACAGAGCTGAGAAGTGACCCCTTATCCCCAGGAAAGAGGGAACTTTACAGAGAAGGTGGTAAGGTCATGAACTCTAGAAGCAGAGGTGCCTCATGTAGCAGTGCAAACTCCCATGAACTCCACTTTCATCAGACCAAAGGTTGTAGAGCTACATCAACTTCCATGAACTGCTCTGGCAACATTTGAGCTGATGCAGAAGTTTAGGCCAGCCCAACAATGAGCCCAGACTTGTTGGCAATTCAGTTTTTCCACTGAAGTATCAAATACGGGTCTTTAAGAAGTGAAATGAGATTTTAAAAGATCAACTAGCAAATTATCGTGCCTGTGCAAGAGAACAAGGATGACTTAAGGATGGCATAAGGATGAACAAGGATGACATATAGAAGCTACAGAAACTTTTGCAAAGGATCATAGAACCATAGAATGTTTTGGGTTGGAAGGGACCTTAAAGATCATCTAGTTCCAACCCCCATGCCACTGCCAGGGACACCTTCCACTAGACCAGGTTGCTTGAAGTCCCATCCAACCTGGCTTTGGATGGAGACCTTCACTAGCATCTCTGAGCAAAAGGGATACTCACATTAACACACTGCTGCACAGCAAATCCAGCACACTAAGCTCCTCACTAATTCACACCACGTCCCTCATCCCAGGTCCTCACAATACCAGCTCAGTTGGATGAGATCTGTAAAAGTGTCACAGCTCAGGAGGCACAGAGGGTTACAGCCAGACTGAGCAAGCTGAGCACGGCCAGTGCCACAGCCCTAAGGGTCCTTTCTACCTGCCATTGCCACTGCTGTTGTGACTTTGCAGGTATGCTGCCCCTGGAGGAATCTTGGTCAGGAAGACCCCAGCTCTTTTTTAAGTCCTTGCAACATACCAGACATGCTCTTTAGCCTCCCAGAGCACCTCTGGCCCTCCCAGGGGAGCAGTTCCTCATACCGGAGTCAAGACATCAACAAAACAGGAGCTTGTGCAGGCTAGCTTCCAGCAGTAGGTTGGGTGAACCTCTTTGGCCATTGCAAATGCAAGGACTAGTTACCAGGCTGCATTAACCTATACCCAGCCTCTCACATGTGCAGCTCTGTCTCAGCTTCGGAAACCATACACTAGAGATGCTCTCAAGTTGTTGATTTATCTTTTCTCTACCTGCTTATCTCACTCTTTCTTTCCTCTAGGAGACCTTGAAGAGGTCTAGATCCTTTTCTTATACCTTTATGTTATCTCTCTCAGCAAATCCTTTCTTGCCTGTTGTGATGTTTGGACACCTTTCTGCCCTTGCTAGATGAATATCTCTTGTGAGGCCAGACAACCCTAGGGAGAGAGACTGAGGCAATTGCTGTGCACTCAGGACATATCAATATGTTCTTTGGCATATTACATGAAGCATGAACTCTGCTGATAATGACAGGAAGAATTCAGGAACAAGCAAGGATGGCTGACCCCACTGGGAGCTTGTAAATCAATACCAAAGAATAGAAAATCCAAATGGCATTGAAGAACTTGGAAGATGTTCTTACAACAGTGAATTTCTGGGAGCACTCCAGTAGAAAAGTGCACCCCTAGCGTGATCTCTTTAATGATAAACTTCAGATGAAACAAAAGTTTTATCAGCACATTATAAGCTTCTTAAGCACTATTGGCTGCTGCAGTTATTTGAGAAGGTGTGTCTTCAATGATCAACTAACACCAAAAGAAATCCTAGTTTCATAACACAGAGCAGCCTAACAAATGATTGACTAGTAATGTTGACTAAGCCATGTAATCAAAAACCTGCTATTGAGCTAACAGCCCTTCAGTATATAAATTTGGTCTCCAGCAGTCAGTCACTCACTCCTAAGCTGCAGAAGCCAATGGAGCTCCTGGGAGCAGCCACTGTTGTCCTTCTAGTTTGCATTGCTTGCCTGCTTTCTGTTGCAGCATGGAGAGGGAAGTATGGAAAGGGGAAGATGCCTCCAGGACCAACTCCCCTTCCCATCCTAGGTAACGTGCTGCAGGTGAAACCAAAGAACTTGGCTAAAACCCTCCAGAAGGTAAAACTACTTTTTTCTTTCTTACTTTATTCTATGGTTGAGAAATGCGTGCGCCCTGTGCGTGGGGACAACATGTGGCTCTGGCTTGATGCGTGGCAAGCCCACAGGAGCAGAAAAGTCATTGAAATCTCAGCTGCTCACTGCTGTTGCCATTGTTGTTCAGGGCCTGGTAGCTGGGAACCCTCTCCATGCCCAGATTTATCATGAGAGGACCAAATTTTGTCACCGCTGGTCTGTGAGGCTATACTACCTGCAGTGGAATGCAGCAGCAAGGCCACTTTTCAACTCCTCCTCCCTATCTGCTCATTCTCTCTTGCATTTTGACAGCTCAGTGAAGAGTATGGACCAATATTCACAGTGCACCTGGGCTCTAACCCAGTGGTGGTCCTGCATGGATATGATGTGGTGAAAGAAGCCCTGATTGATCGTGCAGATGAGTTTGCTGGCAGAGGACGCATGCCAATAGGAGACAGAGCTAACAATGGATTAGGTATGTTTGCTGACTGAGCTCCTTCTGAGGAGAAGGGAAGGGTTGAGGCTGCATTCAGCAGAGCTGGAGTGTATTATGCATGAGGGAAGACTGTGGGGAGTGGGTGAGTCCCAGACGGAGAAGGGAAGGCAGAGTGGGCTGTGACCCAATGGGGATAGCAGAGAAATGAAGCTGGATTGATCCCAGTGATGGCCAGTGAAAGGGCAAGCAGCAGCAGCCACCAGCTGCAGCAAGAGAAATTACGTGTGGCTGTGAGTGATGAATTGTTCACAAGGTAGTTGGGTATGTGGTGGAAAAAGCCAAAAGCAGGCAGTTGGGCTACAGGATCTCCAGAGATTTCCTCCAAACTACAGCACTGACATCACCATGTCAGTGCTCTCCCAGGTACAGGATTCACTGTCACCATGAGCCTATCCATCTCACACACAGCATGCCCAAGCCAGGTCTTCCCTCTTCCTTCTTCCTCTGCAGGAATTGTTTTCAGCAACAATGAGGAGTGGTTGCAAGTCCGTCGGTTTGCTCTCAGTGCTCTGCGCAACTTTGGAATGGGGAAAAGGAGCATTGAAGAGAGAATCCAGGAGGAAACTGAGTACTTTCTGGAAGAGATTGACAAAACAAAGGGTATGGTCCATTTTTAATACAGTTTATGTTTGCAAATAAAGAAGGACTGTATTAAGGGAGCCCATCTCTTTAGCACAGAATTGAAGTTCCCATGTGTCTGGTCTGTGCACCAGCTATGCCACATTACAAAGCAGTACATAATTCCATAATCATGTACTGTTCTTTTTGGAGGACCCTTCTGTGTCACTGAGAGACTGTGATCTGATATTTCCTCTAACAACCAGAGCTCAGGTTGCCCACAGTAGCCATAAGTAGCCATAGTTTGGGGGTTTTTTTTATAGTTTGTAACTTTTCTGAAATCACAGGAACACCTTTTGACCCAACCTTCATGCTGAGCTGTGCTATCTCCAATGTCATATGCTCCATTGTCTTTGGGAAACGATATGACTATAAAGACAAGAAGTTCCTGGCCCTGATGAACAACATGAACAACATCTTTGAGATGATGAATTCTCACTGGGGACAGGTACATTCAGTTGCAATTTCACAGTGGCAATATTCTCCCAGGGGAGCAGGAGGCCTCCCTCCTAATGAAGTTCCATTTCAGTCTTCTAACTAGGACTCCATCAGTGTTTTGCTGCACAAGAGGGAATTCATTCAAGAGCAGGAAGAACCCTCACCAATGGACTTGGCTTTGCCACCTAAGTGCAGCTTCCCCCTAGTCCTGAACATCCTTCTTTTCCACCTTTGAGGTTTCTACTGCTACTAAGCAAGTCCCTACCATGCTGTCAGACTGCCCAGCCTCATACCCTTCTGCTTGGCACAGTTGAAAGGGTTATGGCCTTCCTAGGCTTTTTGCTAGTATCAAAGAAAAAGACAACGATCATGCTATGGACCTTCCTGTTTCTTTCCTTCCAGCTCTACCAGATGTTCTCAAACATTTTGAATTACTTGCCTGGCCCACACAACAACATATTCAAAGAATTTGATGCTCTAAAAGCCTTTGTGTCAGAGGAGGTGAAAACACACCAAGCCTCCCGAGATCCCAATTCCCCTCGGGATTTCATTGACCTCTTCCTCAACAAAATGCAGGAGGTAAGGAGACAGCATAGAGCCCCAGCTCAGCCCCAAACACATCTACACTGAGCCCCTTCCCTCTCCTAACACAGGCATTGGGATGACCCCTTTCCAGGCAGCTGTGCTGTGTTGTGGGAAGACACCAAACCTCAGATACTACCTGTGCTAAAGCTTATAGCTCTGGGTCTACACACTCACCAGCCACTACCCGCAGCTGCTTGGACAGCAAGACCTTCATCTGCTCTCACTGAAACACAGGGACATTTACAGTCTGGTCTTGCAGTTCTTTCACTAGAAACTAGCCAACTAGCAGTTGGCATAGCAAGGGCAAACAGGCAGCTATATAGCATTTGGTCAGCAGCTTGAAAGAAGGTTGCTGCGGGGTTAAGCTTACTGCACAAAGATAGCATTGCAATGCCCCGGATGGCTGCTGCACCTTAGCAGACAAATGCAACAGCTCTAGGTGAAAAGGCAGGCCTGGGATGACAGAAGAAAGGGCCACTTTTCTTATCTCAGACAGAGAAACATCCCAGCTTTTCCTCTAGGAGAAAGACTGTCCCAATTCCAGTTTCTACATGAAGAACCTGATAACCTGCACCTTTGACTTGTTCATTGCTGGAACTGAGACTACTAGCACCACCATAAGATACGGGCTTCTGCTTCTTCTTAAACACCCGAAGATACAAGGTACCAGTCCGTGACCTCTTTCTCTTTAGCTGTTCACCTGGGCTGGGCATGTGTCTAACACCACAACTTTTCTCCTCCCTTTCTCATATTTTATCCAAATGGGCAAATTCCTTGCACCATCATTCCCCAGGGTGGTCATCAGAGATCCCTCAGCTTCACTGGCATCATCATCAGCTACACTCTCCTCATAGCCAGGGACTTGGCTGTGTCCACATCTTTATCTCCCAGTACTCCTGTTTAGCCAAGCCACTAGGAAGACATTCTTTGCATGGGCTGCAGTGGAGATGTGTTCTAGTTGACACCAAAACCAGCATCAATGCTCCTATCATCTGTGATCTTTGGACAGCTTAGGACAATCTATTTAGGTAGGTTTGGTTTTCTTTACCCATTTTACGGTTTGTGTCTCTCATGACAGAGAAAGTTCAAGAAGAGATCGACAAGGTGGTAGGACAATCACGAAGACCTTGTGTGGCTGACAGGATCCAGATGCCCTACACAGATGCAGTGGTGTATGAAATCCAGCGCTTCATCTCCCTCCTCCCCGTGGGTCTCCCTCACACTGTGGCTAAAGACACACACTTCAGAGAGTACGTCATTCCGAAGGTTAGTAGGCAAAGAGTGGAAGAGTAGCTCTGCCCAACACCTTTGCTCACTTGCTTTGCAGCTTTACCTCCCTGCAGAAACACAGTGAGTTCACAAAAAACACAGAGCAGTGACTCCTCACACAAAAGGCAGCAAAGCTGTGGATCTGCTCACCACCCTGCAGGAGAGTCTGCAAAGTCAGTTGGTAGTTACTGAGCAGAGAAAGCCCCTCAGCCACAAAGTGCTGGAGGCTACCTTGGCATTCAAGGGAACAAGAAAAACCCGTTTGTCCTGTTCTTTACACAATTCATGAAGCAGTTACTGCTGGCCACTGCCAGAAGCAGGGCTAGAGCAACCTATGACCTGGCCTGGCTGGCTGCAGCAATGCTCATTGCTCTTCTGGTGACCGTGTACAGCAGGGAAACAGTAACACATGGCTATTGATGTCTTGATTTTCAGCTGTCTCTGTAAAATCAAAAGGCAGGATCTGCTTAGCTTCCATCTTTTGTGTCATCACTGCTGGATGATTTATTTCTCCCTGCCCCCAATCTCCACAAAAACCCATAGATGATCAGGAAGAAGGAAGGAATAGCATCCTGGCAGGAGAAATTTGTCAAGAGAGTGCAACAGTGCTTTATTTCTACAACATTGTGTGCTTTTGCTTTTGGGAGCTTGCAGAAAAGAAGGAACATGGTGCACCTACAAGTTCATATTGTGAAAAATTAAGAGGAATAATTAGGTAAGGTGGCCCCAGACGACTAGAGCAGGATGAGGATAAATGATATGAAAGTGAGAGGGAGTGCTCAGGAAGAGCAGCCAACTGCCCCTGCTGTGGCATCTAGCAGGGTCTCCCTAAAGCTGCCTCCTCAAAGGAAGGGTCCCCAGAGGGAAATGAAACATGGGTAGGGCTGTGCTGGGAAGCTTAGTCTTCACTTGGCGGGCAGTCAGATTAAGTGATCCAACCAGCCTTCCTTTCATGTTCTGCTCTTCTTGTGTAATCTCAGGGCACCACAATTTTTCCCATCCTCGATTCTGTCCTTCATGACAGTAAAGAGTTTCTAAACCCAAATGAGTTCAACCCTGGACATTTCTTGAATGCGAATGGCACCTTTAGGAAGAGTGAGTTCTTCATGCCCTTCTCAGCAGGTAAAGTACTAGCTTCCTCTCCCTTCCTCTCTCTGTCAACTTCCTTCTCTGGAAACCACCCTACCTTTCCCTATAACACACACTCCCTCTTCCTAGCATGGCCCCACTGGTGCTTCCTTGGGGCTTACTGTCCTTTGGATAACTCTTCCCTGCTGCTCTTCAACTCACATGCATTTCCCATCTTGTTTGGGGCTTCTCAAACCTCCTACTAAAAGTCGCCAATATAATGATGTGAGTGGGGCCCACTGACACTTTCTACAATAGCTGTCACCTTCCTACACAACCACCAAAGTCATCCTTAACCAACCTGTCTCTCTGTGGTAGCTCCGCTTTTACCCAGCAGCTCTTATCTACCTCTCAGGCTGCGTGCAAGCACTAACCCACCAATAGCCCCAACCCTCTGCTTTCTCACCCATGCTTTATGTCACCTTTTCCCTCTGATCTTGCCTCCTGTGATGTCCCCTCCACATTTAAGACTTCTCTTGCTCCTGTTCTTCCTTCACACCCCCAATGAAACTGCCAAGAGTCTTTCTTCAACAAACTCTTCTCTTGCAAATGTCCTTTTAGTTAACAGGACTGTTAATCCTAACAGTCATCTCACTGCTGTGGCTGTATCTGGTAAATAAAGCTGCGCAACACATCTGCTTAGTACAAACTCTGGTCTACTCAGCAGAGTGCTATTTGCTCTTTTCAATTCCAGGGAAGCGAATATGCCCTGGAGAGGGCCTGGCACGCATGGAGATATTCTTATTCATCACCACCATTTTGCAAAACTTTACCTTGAAGCCTACCGTCAACCCCCAGGAACTCAACATAATCCCAGCGTTGAGTGGGACAGGCAACGTACCTCCTGCCTACCAGCTCTGTGCTATCCCCCGCTGAAAAGCACAAAACCATTCTCTGCAGTGTCCTGAACCTGACTACTCCTTCTCCTAGGTAGAAAATTAACACTATCCCAGCTGAAACCAGGACACATCTCCCTTACTAAAACAATGGCAGGAGCATTGGCCCACCTTTCCAAGGCCTTGGGAGGCAGCCCAAACATAGGTTTATGGACAGAGCAGATGCCTTCAAAGCCTCCTAGAAGTGGTCTAGAACTGCTCCACCACATCTCAGGGAGACCCTGGGTGTCATTGCAGCCTGTTGCACTGACACTCTGTCCATGAGCTCATTGAGTGCAGTGGCTGCATCAAACAGCTGATTTTCTCACAAACGTGACTTTCATGACTGCCCATGACCTGCTTCTCCTTCAGCACAGATCCCTGCCAAGAGCAGCATGCTTTGCAGGTGGATACCACTGTATGTGTCTGTGTTAATAACCCAGTAAAGAAAAATCTGTTTAAAAAGATTTGAGCTGTTATTTTCTTTGGGTTGGGACAGCGCCTACGTCTGCTGCTCCACTGCAGAGTAGGTCTGCAGCACCTGTAGCCAATGCCCTGTGGGAAGGGCTGTCCCACCAGGGGCAAGGTTCCTGCCTGCTTCATCTGCTGGACCCAGTGCTGCTGCCTGCAAGGACTCCCTGGCCAATCACAGCACAAGACCAATCAGGAAGACTCGCAGTGTGAGATATGAAGAGGGTCCTGAAGCCTGTAGCTCTGTCTGCTGTTCTTGGAGCTGCCAATCCTGCTACCCACAGCTGGAGAAAATACAGCTTCAGCCTCCCTCCTGAAGGAGTGCATTCGCCTCCCCAGTTCAGAGGCTGAAGTTTTGGCTGCCTTCACCCCCTTGATGGGACCTATGGCTGCTCCAGCAGTCTCCTTTCATGTCTCAGGCACTCTGCGGCCCAGCCTTCCCACAAGCTAGGAGTACCTTCCCTATGGCCTGTCCCTGTCCTCCTCCCACCATCTCCCTCTTCTGCTCTCTCCCAGGCATTTGCCAGCACAATGCTGCCTGCCACTGTAGCCACTCAGCACTCTGATATGAATCAAGATGGGGCTGCTGAGGAGGTAATTTCTCTGGATGGTGTCTCCTGCTTGAATCACACTTTCACCCCACATCCCAGCTGAAATGCCAAGGTACAAGAGAGAAAACAGTAGTGAGAGGCCATTGCAGGTAAGGAACAGTTGAGAACTAAGGGAAGTTGCCATCATGGGGGCAAAGTTCTGCAGCTGGAGTTGCATTCTCATTCCAGTTTTCTTGGGCATATCACTTCATCTCACTGGACTCCTTCTGCCAAATGGAGAGTGCATTCCTGACTTTGCAGGGTGTTGCGAGGAGCTCAGGCACAGAGTGATAAGGACTCCAACGAACTCTCTGGCTGCTCATTTCTACCGTCAGTGTCACTGCTAGGATTTATATGTTCTTTATTAAAATGAATTAATTTAGGAGGACAGCAAAAACATCTCTCCCAGAGAGGCTGGGTGCTCCAGGGGAGTCTGATTTTGCTTCCACATCTTAGAGGCATCATTTCAAACAGTTCTTCCCCCATCCAAAGTCTGTCCCATTTTCTATAGAATTTCATGTATGCACAAAGAGAAAATTTTCACTGCCACCGTGTGACCCCTGGTGTCCAGGAAAAGGATTGTGCCTGTTATTTCTGGCCCCAGCCACTATTCAGTGGGTTTTTTTTTTCAGTGATGGATGGATGGTTTTCGTAAATGGATTCCACCACAGGTGGCTCTCTTCTGTGTTTCTTCATCCTCATGGGCTCTGGTTGTGTTTGGATCTCTGGTTTGCAGCGTCTGCCTTGATTTTCATTTACATATATATTTGTTGTCCCCTGCACCATGGTCATATAAAAGTCCTAGAAAGAAAATAGAATTTCTGTCTGACGATTGTCACAAGGTAGTCAGAGACCTTGTGAGTACTGCAGAGAATACAATATGCAGGAATTTCCACCTCCCTTTGGAAATGTTTAGCAGTATTTTGAAGAAATATCATATTTGCTCACATCTTAGGTTCTTCCCTCCTTCTCTCTCCATTTTTGCCCATCCAGGACACAGCTATAATGCCTGTGGGCTCTAAACCAGTGGCAAACCACTGTTGTTCTCTTATTTGGAATGCATCCAATGGACAGGCATGCAACCAGAAGTATCAGTCATGTAGGAGCCCCAGGCAAGCATGGGAAAAGAGATCACCATGAGCTCTTTATTAGTTTAGGGCTATCCTTAAAGCCAGTCGTGCATTTAGTAACTCGCTCAGCAGTATATGTGTTATGTTGCAAATTAGTTAAGAGATGACTTACATTTGGAGGTCTGGGAGGGAACGATTCATATTCATGTTCTTCCTGCCCATCGGGATGTTGATTCATCTGAAGCAATGAACAAAACAGTGGCAAACAACATCTATCTACAATTCATAAACAACTGCGTAACAAGCACAGGGCAGTGAGAAAACGGTCAGTTACTAAACAGCTCCAGAACTCAAGACATACTCAGGGGATAAACAATCACACAGGGAATAATATTTGGGATAACATCTAACATATTCTAAGCTGGATGCCAAAACACTCTT